GTGCAACAATGAATGAATGGAAACCCAAAATCTCTGTAAATGTTTATGAAAATTAATAAAATATAATTATAGAAAAAAAAACAAAAAATACTATTAAACTTTAGTTTTTTTCAACTACCTTACAGATACTGTAGACTTAAAAATATGACTTGGCTCAAATTCCAAATGATTTGCCATGGATAATCAGGTCATGGATGTTGATTCTCAACAGACATGGGGAAAATCGAAATTTGGAAATCATGGTGAAAAGGGACAATTTTAACAGGTAACCCCCTCGCTCCCTCTGCCTCACTTCTCATCTCTGTTAACACTTCAATATTGATTTTGTGTGTAAGCCTTTCCTTATCTTTGTATATTAATGGCCTTATATCATAATTATCCTTTTGTGAGTGACTTATGTCACTTAGTATAATTTATACTAGTTTCATTAATATTTCACCAATTCTTGATCATTTTTAAGTGATGCTTAATATTCCACTATGTGAATGTACAATAATTTCTTTAGCCATCTATCTGTTGATGGGAACTGGGGTTGTTTCCAACTCTTTACAATTATAAATACTATAACATGGATGTGACCGTGTCAGTTTGTGTTGCAGTTCTTGTTTCTTTGAGATACGTACCTAGTAGTCGGATTGTTGGAACGAGTGGTATTTCTATTCTTAACTGTCTAAGAAAACACCAAACTGCTTTTTATAGTGATTGTGCCATTTAACAAATCAAGAATTGTTCACAAAATAACAGTTAAACTTTAATATACTCATAATGATAAATTCTAAATGAAGACACAATAAAAAGTTAAGAACATTTCAAAAGAACTTTCAAATTACCCACCTCTAAATACTTTTTTTTCTCACTTTAGGATAAAGTTATCTTAAGGCCTTACAAGCATGCATAATATGATATCTCAGTTCACAAAAAGAAAACAAATAAGCTTTCGTTAGGTAAATTTTAAGTCCACTGAAAATAAAACGTAGATAAAGTGTTTTTAAAGTACAAAACCTCCACACATCCCTTTAAAAAGCAGAGAGCGGAAGGTTTACACATGGATCTATAGAATTGTGGAAGGCTGACAGGCCAGGAGGGGGGGCGGAGATTAGCTAATTGATGGGCAGAATGAAGGGAAAGGAAAGGTCCATCAGGTGTTGAGAATACACTGTAAATAACAGCATTGTTGTTGGCGTTTACTGTCAAGCTGGACCTGACCCTAGCTGACCCTCCAGTGGGTTTTCAGAAGCAGCTAATCACTTCAGGGGACAGTGCCCATTCTCTACCTTTCAAAAGCATTATACAAATATAATTGTTATAAAACAAAATATATACGTGATTGAATGAAGACTAACGTATTAAAAATGCCCACCTGATTTGTCCTCTGTGTCATCGAAGTCAACGCTGAAGGAATGACCACTGTTGCTGATGATTTTAGCAGAGCTTGGGTCATACTTGATAATAAGTGGTCGGAGGGAAGAGTCATATTTCACTTCTTTGGTTTTAATCTCAATTGGAGATTGTTGATCTCCATCAGCAATAGGGAATAATTCATTCCAATGAATAGGTCCTGAAACATGTTAAGAACAAAAGAAAAGAGCTAAGTTCTTTCATTCAACAAGTCTTTGCTTGACTATAAAGCACTGTACTTGAGATTACAGAAAATATAAAGATGAACAAAATCTTTACCCTCAAGGGCTCAACATCAATTTTAAAACAGTTTTCTAAAACTGTTTATAATATAAATAGGAAAACCACTTGGCTTGCATTAAATCATCTTCATAATTAAATTAACCCTGGTAGAAAAAAGAGATGTAAGTTTTAGAAAGTACTTTTCAAAGGACACTCTTCTACAAAGCTCACAAAAGCACAATTCATCAAAGAATGAGTTCATCATGAGATCAAGTTTCCGCTTCAAGAATGAATTGTGATCACTCCAGAGGTCAGCAAGTTTACATGCTGGGAGAATCAAAGGACCTGAGAAAGCAGCCAAGGAACAAATAAAAGGAATTGCCCTTAAAGATGATGCACCTACTTCATTTTTCTATAGCTCAGTGGGATCTCCTAGCAACACCCAGACCTCACTGATGTGCATCGAACATACAAGAGAAATGTTATCATTTTCCCCACAAGATAAACCAAATGCAATAGCTCCACTGTGTTAAGAAATAGTCTCGGTCTTTTTTTATTACCATTATCAGCTGTGAAGTTAGCAATTTATTCCCTTCTTTAAACATTGCAAAGGTTTGTGTCTATTCTGTCAAAACTAAACTTGAGTCCAACACAAGGAATATTCATAATTCTGTTCTGTTCAAAATGTTAGAATTACATCAAGTTCATGAGTCAGAGGCCTGTTTGTTAAATGGATGTGCACCAATAAATAAGGTGGCAATTCTCTGGTCTCTGCCTTAAAGTCCTGCCTCTCAAGGAAATCAACAACAGATTGCAGCTTCTTTTGAGCTCTAAATCATTCTACAGACATGAGTTATTTTATACGGTGTCATTGTTTCATGCCATCAACTTGACTGTGATGTGTAGCAATCCTATAAACAATAGATCTGAACCTTGCCCTATCCTGCTTTGTCCTCATGATCTCCAACACGCCCAAGCCCATTGGTACAGTCACGGTGCCAATCTATCCTCTTGCGGGTCTTCCCCTTTTTCAGTGACCCTCCACCTTTCCCAACATGATGTCTTTTTCCAAGGACATCTTCCCAATACCATGCCCAAAGTGTACGAGACCAAGTTCCATCATCCTCGCCTCTAAGGAGCACCCTCGTTGTACTTCCTCCAAGACAGATTTGTTTGTTCTCTTGGCAGTCCATTCAGTACTCTCTGCCAACACAATTCAAAATCACCAGTTCTTCTCCAGTCATCTTTATTCACTGTCCAGCTTTCAGTTGCATAGGAAGAAATTGAAAATACCATAACTTGAACTTTAGTCTTTAAACTGGGACTGATGCTCTTTAGCATTGGGAAAGGTCCTTTGATTTCTTGACTACTGCTTGGATCCAAGAAAATGAAATCCTGACAACTTCAGTCTTTTCTTCATTGACTATGATGTTGGCTATTGGTCCAGGAGTGAGGATTTTTGTTTTGATGTTGTTGCTGTTGCTGTTCTGTTCTGTGCCATTCATTATAATCAACTCATAGCTAACCTTCCAGTGGGTTTTCAGAGGCTATAAACTGCACAGGAGAAGACTGCCCACTATTTTCCCATGGAACAGCTAATGTGCTTTGGGATAGCAGTGCAACTCTGTACCATATGACCAACAGAGTTCCCTTTTCTTCATATTGTTGTATACCATTGACTGATAGCTGACTCTCTAGCGAATTTTTAGAGGCAGTTAATCACACAGGAGGAGACTGCCTATCTTTCCACCGTGGAGCAACAGGTGGATTCAAACCATATGCCTTCAAGTTGACAATTCTTCATCAGTAGGCCACCAGATTTGACTAACTTGAAGAGATCTGTATTTGTACCCATTCCCATGAAAGGTGATCCAACAGTATGTGGAAATAATTGAACAATCAATACCATTAATGTCACATGTAAGCAAAATATTGCTGAAGAACATCCCAAAACAGCTGGAATAGATAGAGAAACAGAACTACCAAAAGTTCAAGCTAGGGTTGGAAGAGGCTGTGGCACCAGGAATATCACTGCTGATGTCAGATGGATCCTGGCTGAAAGCAGAGAATACCAGAAGAATGTCTATTTGTGTTTTATTGATTATGCAATTGACTGTATGGATCACAACTAATCATGGTTAACATTGAGAAGAATGCGAATCTCAGAAAACTTAATTGTGTTCCTATAAAATCTACGCCTAGACCAAGAGTCTGTTGTGCAAACAAAACAAGGGGACAGTACAAGGTTTAAAATTAAAAGCAAGATGCATCAAGTTGTATTCTCTGTCAACACCTATTCAAACTGTATGCTGAGCAAATCATTTGAGAAAAAAACTAGACACTATGAAGAAGAATATGGTATCAGGATCAGAAGATGACTCATCAATTACTTGTACTCAGCTGGTGACATAACTTTACTCACTCAAAGTGAGAAGGACTTGAAGCACTTGCTGTAGAAGACTACAGCCTTAAATATGGATTACATTTCAACATTAAGAAAACAAAAATTGTAATCTCTGGAACAATAGGCAACATCATAATAGATGAAGATTAGATTTAAATTTTCGACAAATTCATCTTACCTGGATCCACAATAAACACACCCATGGTACCAGCAGTCAGGAGATCGAAAGACATACTGCATTGGGAAAGTCAGGGACACCAGAGTGTGCCAGCCTGTTTCAGGCCATGATAATTTCAGTCACTTGCTAAGTATCTGAGAGCTGGACAATAAATAAGGATGACAGAAGAAGAACTGATGCCTTTGAGCTGTGGTGTTAGAGAAGAGTCTTGAATATCTCAAGGCAGCCAAAAGAACAAATCAATAGATTTTGGAGAAATTGCTGCCAGTGTGTTCTCCTTGGAAGCAAAGATGACAACGTTTCATCTCACATAGTGGAGTATGTTGCTAGAAGAGAGAGACAACATACTTGGAAAGGTAGAGGATCAGTGAAAGAAAGGAAGATCCTTGACAAGATGGATTGACACAGTGATTGCAGCAATGAGCTCAAATATGTAAGAGATTGTGAGAATGGCACAGGAAAAGAGAGAGTTCAGATCTGTTGTTCATAGGGTCACTATGACTTGTACTCAATGACAGTACCTAACAACAACAACAGACCATCAGAGTTCCCTCTCCTCTGTTCTGCCTTTGATTTACAGAGCTAGCCAATGAGTAGTACACAGGTCCACTCAATACACTTTCCCTTGCTCTACTAACCATTTTTTTTCTCTAAAAATTGACTGTTGTTAGATGATGCCAAGCTGATTCTGACTCATAGTGAACTCCTGTGACAAGGTAGTTCAGATCCACCAGCCACAGTATTGGTATGTTTCTGTAATAATTTACAGCTTTGAAAACTCTAGAGGACAATTCTACTCTGTCTTACAGGGTGGTGATGAGTAGGATTCAACTTGACAGAAACAGATGGGTTTTATTTGTTTGATCTTCACAGAAGCAGATTGCCAGATCATTCTCCCTTGGGGTACTAGACAGGTTCTAAAAGCCATCATCTCAGCTAGGAGTCAAATGTTTAATCATTGCTCCACCAGGGATCCTCTAAAACTCATGATACTATGTGACAACATTTAAAGATTTCAAGAAACTCAAGTCTATCACACCAACAGCTTTCAATCTCTTAATGCAAAATTATTTCTTACCTTTTTTTTCTCTTTTACATAGAGCTCTATTGGCCTAGTGGACAGTAAGTTATACTACCAAGACAAAGATGGGTGATTTTAATCTGTGGCCCTCAGGCCTGGTTTTGGTTTTGGTCAAACATTCTTCTAAGTGGTATAGCATTGGTCTGTCCATTTGCTGTACAGAGTTAACTCACCATTGCTGAGATGTTAAACTGTAACACTGATGTGTGAAATGAAATAATGGTTACCAGTAGTGGGCAGTGTTTGGTGGCACTCCCTAGTTAAAACAAGCTTGGAAGCAGGAGTGGCATCCACTTTCAAAACAGCTTGTCTCCCGAAAACTCTATGAACTTGGAAAAATGATGAAAGTTATACAAGTGTTCAGCTCTTTTGTTCATAGAGTAACTATGAGTCGTCTATGGCTCAACAGCACTTAACAACAACAACCAACTTTATTTTTGCTAAAAAAGGTATAAAGTCTTCCTTTAATTTATAACTCAGACACAAAAAGGTATCCCACAAATACATAAATCCACACACACCCTAGTGGAAGTCCTCTTGAGACTCTGGCACTTTGCAAGTCAGAGAGCAATTCAAGCGAGAAAAGTTCTTGCTGAAAAATGTATTAACAGAGAGTGCTTGCTTTAAGCTTTCTTGTTGGCAAGTACTTATTTTTCTGAAGCAAGATCAATCCAATTTGAGGGGGTTTTTTCTTTCTTTCTCTTCTGTTTGGGCCTTTTTTTTTAATGTGAAAAAACTGCTACCAATGATGAAGTAATCTAGTGAGAATTAGATTTCAAATTTGCAGTGCATGTGTCACAACACACTGTTGATTCTTTTCCAATCAGGAAAAAAGGTTCCTTTCTCCTCCCAATTATTTCCAGCTCTTAAAACAAGAATTCTTTGTAGCTTCATCTCACTTCAGGTAGGTCGTTAGGAGAGGCTATTCCTTGGAAAGGGGCATTGTAAAAGGAGCAGAAGCAATGTGAGTGGAGTTAAGCATGACTTTTACCTGCTTCATAAAGGGAAACTGTCCTCATCAATAATATCCATAGCAATAAACAACTGCTCAGACATGCCACTCTCCATGCTCCTGCACCTTTTTCTACCAATCATTAGGCCTGATATTCATTATTGACTCAGACTTTACTTAAAATTGTAGAGTTTATTAGGGAAATAAGTAGGAGAGTGGGGGAGGTAAAGAATATCACCCAACGCAAGTCCTGGTTTAGTCCAGTAGTCCCAAGTCAGATTAATAAGGCACAAGTCCTCAGTTAATGAAAGCCCAGGTTTTAGTTCAGCAGCACAAATGGAATAAGCCTCTGGTTTCTTCAGTCATCCAGCAAAATTAATCTCAGAGCAGCTACAAGTCAGATTTTCCAGGTTTTATTTCAGCAAGCACAACTTAACTGTGGCCTTTATCTCCAGGGTTCCTCTGGTTACACATTTCCACAATCTCCTCACCGCAGTGCCAATAGTCTCTTCACGATCTCTCCATCACCATCTTTTTTCTGTTTTTCACAGTGTGGAAAGCACTCTTATATTGATCCCATAGCTGTTGATGAATTGTAAGGTCATGTTCCCACAGTGAAGGTAGCTGGAGACCATGCCCTCAGCAAGGTCTAACACAATGGCTAGAGTTCTGATACCCCAGATATCATGGTTGGAAAGGTGGAGAGACAGTAAAGATGTGTCAGAGATTGTGAGGATGGTAGGATAGGGTTCAAATTTATTGTTCATACGGTTGCACTAAACTCAATGGCATCTAACAACAACAACGTAGCTAGAATTTATTTTTAAAGGAAAAAATACTATTATTTTGTATCATATACGCAAGACTGTCTGTAAACTACTAAGGAAGGTTCATTTCCTAACCTCTTAAAGGTCATTTAAAACATTCCCAAGATATCTAGCTTTAAATTCACTCATATGTGCTGTCACCATGAGCCAGAATGGACCAAAGACAACTGGTACTGGACAGCATAGTTCTTAAGCAGAGATGTGTGGTGACCCCTCAAACTAATTTAAGAACTTTTGAATGCCAACTTGCCTACTAAAATACAACACATTTCCTACAAGGATTTTGTCACTTAATCAACTTCTTTAAACACACATGCATAAATGCCGCCTCTGAATCTGAACCAGCTCATAGCTGAGTTTTCAGAAGCTGTAAATCACAAGATATAGTCTGCCCAACTTTTCCCTTCAGAGCCGCTGCTAGATTTAAACCACCAGAAAGGTGCAGTCTTTGGGTTAGTGGTGCTGCAACACCCTACTGACTAAGCCACCAGAGCTCCCTTAGTCCTCAGAAAGCAATTGTATCTAAAAGATGAGACTTGTTCGACAATCCTTACTGTCCATCCACTACCAGATTTGTGAGGTTACAAATCCTACCTTGAGGAAATGGCCTAATTTTCTCCCTGAGCAGCTGGAATTTGAACCCCTAATCTTTCAGTGATATCAATGATATTGTTCAATAAT